AACTGGAATATTAATACAGAATTTCAGCACTTGTGATTTTTGAATGAATTTCATCTGTAGTTCTAAGAATATACTTGGAAAATTAAAAAATAATTCCTTGGAAAGACAAAAGAAAAAAAACACTTTTTTTGGTACCGGGGATCGAACTCGGGTCCTTGTGCTTATTAGGCAGACAGCGGAACCACTGAGGTAAATCCCTGGCAAGAAATTTTAAACCAATTACAGAAACTGTGAATCATAAGCAAAAAAATTTGTGCGTGGCTTTTTTGACTTGGCAGAGTGCTTTATTTTATTTATTTATTTATTTATTTGGTACTGGGGATCTAACTCGGGTCCTTGTGCTTGCGAGTCTGGAGGCAGAACCACTGAGCTAAATCCCCGGCCTGCAGAGTGCTTTAATTTATAAAACAAGAAAAATATTTGCAACATTTAAAAGGTTATTTTAAATATATCAAATATATATAACAGTAAAGATGTGTTACACAATTAAAAATAGAATAGGATACATAGATATAATTTCAAGAAGGCAAAACTGAACTGATATATGAACATATAAAGAAAATATTCAGTATTACTCATAATTTAAAAACAAAAATTGAAATATACGTTTTTCCACTTTAAAAAGGAAAAATAAAAAATAAGTACAAAAAGTTATAGAATTCTGTGTTGGTTAGGATTCAACCTTCATTTTCATAGTTGATGTAAGTGTAAGTTAATGTGGTATCTTTGGAGAATAATTTAGAAGTGTGAATTAAATTAAAAATACACACAATTTTGCATGAAACAGTTTAATATCTGGAAACATATAGTACTGATAAAATTATAATTGAGTAAATATTTGCTATAGCGCTATTTGATGTAGGAAAAAGAATGAAAACAGCCTTCATTTACTTTAGTAAATCATTATTTGAATAAAAAAATATATATACATTTAATAGATAAAATTCAGAAAGTGATAAGGATGGTATTATATGTTGTAGTAAAGAGTCCAAGATTGTTAAATGAAAGGTAAAAACAACGTATAGAAAACCATAAGATGCTTTCCAGTTACGTAAACAATTACAGAGGGATGCATGTGAATATATTTATTTATAAATTATATTGCAATGGAAAAATGTAAGAGCATACCCACAAATGTTTTTCTTCAGGAAAGATGATTGAGGATCTAGGATGAGAAAGACATACTTTTAAAATTTGTGCATTTTTGTAGCTTGAATTTATAGAATATATACATGGATTCTTAAAAAAATTAAAAATACAATTCCTGCTGGGCGTGGTGGCATGTGTCTGTATCCAGCACTTAGGAGCCTGAGGCAGGAGAAACGGCAAGAGTCTGAGGCCAGCCTTGGCTACATAGTTAAGTTCAAGGCCAGCCTGATATAACACAAACTTAGTTTCCCTCCTTTAATGTATATACCAACTACTTCATGCTCTGACTGGCACCTAGTAAATATTCAATGCTGTTGAGTAAACACAGGCAATTTGTCATGTCTACTTTCTATCTCTAACCCAGATTCTTCCCTTGAGTTCTGCTGTGCTTTTTTAACCATGTTTTCAGAACCTATACTCAAATGCCCAGGTTGCTGTCACCTTTCTCCTACTCACTGTGTACTCTGTAAGGCAGGTGAGGCAAGGATAGGCTGATTGGGCTTGGCTTTTTGATCTCTAGTTTTCAAGACAAATTATTTTCCATCTAGGTCTTATTTTGGGGGAAACCCTGGTACCACATTCTGAACTTGGGACCATAATCACCTATCTTCTAACATGTCTACTTCTCACCTCTAGTTTAGTTAATTTTGCTATATCCCATTGGTAGCACACACCACAAATTGATCCCTTTCACTTTATTACTTAAGTCACTGATGTTAATTTTGCTTTTCTGAGCTGTTACAATAGACTTCTTTCCTTGGCAATACATATTTACATATCCACAGGAATGTTTCTCAAGTACAATTATCATTCTATAACTCTTTGTCCTATAACTCTTCAAGAGTTTTCATTTGAAAACTCTTTAATTATCTTCCCCTACCTTAAACAGCTATTTCTCATGTCCTGTCCATTGGTCTGTTTGATCTTTTTGTTATATAGCATAAACTATCGGCACTCCTACAAACATCAATATCCTTTATTCTATGTGTGACATGTTATTTTGTGCTTCCAGGCCTTTACACACTATTTTCTTTGCCCAAATGACTCTCTTTCCCTTTGTCCCCTAGAAAATACCATTTCTTCCCTTAATGCTTGGCACTGGTGTGAGGTCTCTTAGGAAGCTCTTGGTAAGACTAGATATTCATACATTCCCAAATAGACATTTTTTGCTACATACAGAAAGCACAGCGATAACTCTATGCGTGTTTGTTTCTCCGCTTGATTATCACTCATTTCTTTAGCTGAAAAAAAAACAAATTATGGCTTGGCCAATCATTTTCTTAGCAATCCCAGAATTGAAGTGTAGCAAAAGTTTCTTATTACCGCAGGGCTACTGTCCAAAATAAGACAATGATCCATGATGTACAAGCTTCCTATTGTGTTTCGTTTTCTAATCCCCCAGAAAGCAGTTTTCTAATTATTTTTCCCACTTTTTGATCTTAAATGAATTGTTGGTAAGAGTTGCTTCACATCAGGTTGTCATGGTCTCTGAAGTTTTGAATTATTTGTTTCAAAGTATATTTTGATGAAAGTTAAATATGGGTTTGTACAAATCTTTTACTCTGACCTCTAAAAATCTTCTTTGAAAAATAAAAATACAATAGGCAAGTTACAACAACAACAGGGATATCAGTTATCACGCAGTTGAGGATACATGAAAATTTCCCTTGGTTTATTTTATCCCAGAGAGTCAGAAAATGCTTCATCACGAACCGAAATTATTTCCTAAGAGATCATTCATCACTTATATAATACAAGCTCTTTCAGAGCAGAATGAGTACATTGTTACTGACAACTGAGAGGCGACTTGAGAAAGGACTAAAACTGAAGGTCATTTTTACCTTTCTCATTTTCTAAGTCTTCACAGAATCACTGAAAGCTGTAGGCATTATTCTTTGCTATTATGTGTGCAGAAATTAAGTCACAAAGCTAATAATTTCCCCTGTCTGGTGAATTTAAAGGAGTCTAAATAATATTAATAAAATTATAGCTTCTTCTCACTATCTGTTTTCTCAGTAAGAGGCCCCTGGTGTAGAGCTCAGCTGGTTACTGAATGTGCATGCCTGGTAATCACAGTTTAAATAAGTCTCTAATATAGGACTCAGCAAAGTACAGATTGTGGGCCCAACTAGCCACCTACCAGCTTTTGTATGACCCATAAACTAAGAGTTGTTTCTATTTTTGCTTTCATAAAAAAAGAGAATATTTCATGGCACATAAGAACTGCCTAGGACTCATGTTCTAGGGTCCGTTAATAAAGCTTTATTGGAAAATAGCTGCACACAATATCTTTTTTTTTTTTTATTGAGTTTATTGGTACATTTAGGGATACAGTACAGTTACATTCATTGTTGGGATCATGTACCTTTACATGGCAAGTCTTGATTCTCATTTTTTTCCCCTTACCTCTGCCCTCCCTTCACCCCCTCCTCCCCTCCCCATCTACAAACACTTTATTTTCATCTTTTCATTCTCTCACATTTTTTTCTTTTCCCTTTTTGTTCTTCCCCTATGTATCACACCTTCCCTACATCTTTAGCTCCTTTCCTCCCATTTCTAAATGTCAGTAATCTTATTAGAATCTTATGCATTGTTGCAGAATATTCACACCAGGGAAACTATTCGGTATTTACACATGTGGGACTTATTTATTTCACTTAGGAGTATATCTTCAATATCTTTACATACGGTCTCTGGCTGCTTTTGCACAGGAGTAGCTGAGTTGGGTATCGTGAGAGAGACTGCATGGTTAGCAAAGCCTAAAACATTTACAACTTTTTAGCAGAAGAGTTTGCTGACTCATAATGTAAAGAAAAATGAAAGTTAGCGTTTTTCTTTTCATTTTCAGTTCGCAAAAATACTTTCTCCAAGATCAGTATACTGTGTGTGACTCTGTGACCCCTCAAATGATAGAATTAAAATGCATTTTATGCAACCGTTCCTTTCTGAGTCTTAACAAAACTGACCTGACAATTTCTCTCATACTTTCAGCTTCGCACTTCCCTAGAACAGTAGAAGGGAAGAGGATACATAAAGAAATAAAATTTTACTGATTACACCTGAAATTATTTCTGGGAAAATACAAGTATTATATTACCTACTAATATAAACTTTCAACATTTTTCAAGTGGTTATATTTCGCTTTTGGCTTTTCAAAAAAAATACTGATTTAATATGAATGAAATTTGTGACAACAAACATTTGAAATCTTCTCTCAAGTGGACATGTAACATATTGCACATAAGAAATGCATATGAATTTATATAATCATGTCTGTAGTGACATGGGAGATGTTTAAGCAAAATCAAATGTGATAGCACACACACACACACACACACACACACACATACGTATATATGAACAAACTTCAAAGTGCATCACCTTGGTGATTCTGGGATGTGGCTTAAACATCTTCATCCATCACTGAAACCTATAGACTCCCAGAGTTAATTTATACTTGCTGACAGTTGTGTGGGAGGAACGGTGTCAAAAATACAGCTGCACGCTTTGCACTTCTTAGTTAAATGTCACTCATGGTTTCCAACACGAGCCTCTTATTGACTGAGATTTCACCTCGGAGGTGAAGTTTGGCAGCCCAGAATGCCTGGATATATTCGATTGGTTATTTGTTTGATGCAGAGTCAAATAAATGCCAAGTCAATCAAGAGATTTCCAAATACTTCTGAATTTTCACGGTGCAAAAAAGCTTTGCTTTTGAAAGAGCAGCAAATGTAACATTATACTGCAGAATCCACATCTGTGTCACTAAAAGCACCATTTTTCAAATGGTTCCTATGAAGAAGATTAAAAAATTATAGAGAATCCAGGCCAAGATTCTGACATGTTCATTCCTCGGGGATTTGGAACCAAATTGTTGTCATTAGATCCTAATGTGAACTGATGCCACAGAATATTTTTTGGAAAGAAAAATCATAAAATAAGTGAGATATAATATTCATCTGAATAAGCTACAGGCAAAAGAAGTCATAGTTTGTGACACATTGTGAGGTAGCTTTTAAGTAAGTGACTTTTGATTTCAAGTTCTAACACTTTATGCTATTCTATATTATTTTATATTCTGAGAACTGGAGGTAACATTGTTTTCCAATAATAAACACAACGAACACTCACAGAATATTCTAACAGAACACTAACAGAAAGAAAGGTAATTAGAATTATCATCATAAAGTATAAAGTGCACATAGGTACAGTTAACTACTATGACAACAAAAATATAAACATAAAGATAACTTAAAGGAATAGAAAGCCAAAATGCAGTTTATACATTCAGTTTATTTTAACTTTCTTTGTAATTGAAAGATAATTATATATATTTAAGAAGTGTAATGTGATGTTTTAATATATGCATGCATTATATAATGATCAAATCAAGATATTTCAGCATAATCTGTATTTTACTATGTGATATATTTTATTTTTTATTATTATGGATTCAGGTGCTAGAAACTCATGATTGTATCTTTCTTTCTTAGATATACTGAAAGCCAATTAACAGTACTACTTGGCTGAATTCTGGATTTGTTCTTTCTAAATTTATTTCAAACATCTTTTGAAATTTTAGAGATCATTTCTAAGAGTGGCAGTTAGCTAAAGAGTTTTAAATGAAAGATACACGTTTTCTACACAAGCAGGACTTTTGGAAGTATCAGTTGTTTATGCAGTGAGAAAAGACTATAATTCTATTTATTCAATGAATGAATCTGGTTATTTTTCTGGTGCCATAATTGGTAGAAGATTTTGGTGGGATCTGTGGTAGTGGCTGGTGGTATTTTTTGCATATAATTCCAAGTTTTTATTTTCTTTATATTTAGGACTTTCTTTTAAGACACAGGTTGGTGATTTGTGACAGTATGAAGACAAAATCAATTGAGTTTACCTTTCCTGGTATATAATTAGTGGTACAGATATAAGAGAGAGAGAGAGAGAGAGAGAGAGAGAGAGAGAGAAAGATTAATCAACACTATCTAACTGTAACTAAAATATCTACTTGTGCATAAAAAATCCAAGTTATTCACATTTGAGAAGCAGACTAAGAAAAATGAAGAGGAAGTAAAAGAAGAAAATGGTTATTTATTTTCCCATATGTGTAACTATCTAAAGATGTCTACTTTTCTTACATTTCCATTTATTCCTATGAGTTGGATCCATATGTCCTTTTATACACAGTAGATTTTTCTGGAAAATTAGTCAAACAGACTTGGGTGAAAAAGAAGTGTGTGTGTGTGTGTGTGTGTGTGTGTGTGTGTGAGAGAGAGAGAGAGAGAGAGAGGAGAGTATAAATTTAAAGCATTTTTAAAGGATGCTTGGAAAAAGTAAGTGCTTTTTTCTCTCAGTGTGAGAATAAACAAGTGATAGTACCTACTCTCTTAGAGAAACAGTTCAGTTAGAAACAAGATGGTTATCTCAGCCAAGTGTGATAGAGGCAACTCTGTACTTACCTGAGATAACCATCTTCTGTTCCCAAATCCATCAAAACCCAGACTGCCTTTTATCTTAATTAAGAGGAACTATTTCTATAGGAAATGATAGTTATCTACATAATTTTGTGACACAGGAAAGTGATGATCCTATAAATTTGCAGCCAACCAAATTTTCACCTAAATATAAATGTACAATTTAAAAAATCTCAGAAACTTTTTCAAAAACTTACTTTGAAAACATTTTTGGGAAAAAGATTTAAGTAAGAAACAAAATTCAGAGGGTTATTGTAAAATATGTGAAAATAAGGGTCTGATAAAATTTAAGAAAGTTTATTATTATCCCAAAAGTCAATGGTAAAATAAAAGTGAAATAATATTACTATAAAATATCCAGAAGTTCATTCTTAGGTAATAGTAACACTTAGATTGGGAAGAAAGTCAGTAAAAGAATATGAAGTTAGCTAAGGTACCAGTCAAATTAATAAAGTAATATAATAAGAATAAACATTAATATGAATTTCAATGTACATAAAACAAAAATAGAAAATATAATTTTATGTTAGCAAAAGACTTAAAGGACAGATAACATAAAGAAGAAAATACAAGAAATTGTGTGAAATCAGATGACAAAGAATTTCCAGTATGTCAAAAACTGTAGTGAATATAAAATTCACATTAACCAATAAATATAAGAGAACCTCAAATTAAAATAGAACAGAGAACTCTTATGAATAAAAATACACTCAGGCAAAAAGAACAACAAGGGAAGGAAATATTTAGTGAGGCTTATGAGGGGAAGGAAGGAGAGATGGAAAGAGGGGAGGCAGAAGGAGAAGGAGGAATCAGGAAGAAATAAAAATTTTTTCAGCTTTAATTGAGTTTATTGGTACATTTTAGGGATACAGTACACTTACATTCATTGTAGGGATCATGTACCTCTACATGACAAGTCTTGATTCTCATTTTTTCCCCTTACCTCTGCCCTCCCTTCACCCCCTCCTCCCCTCCCCATCTACAAACACTTATTTCCATCTTTTCTTTATCTCACATTTTTTTCTTTTCCCTTTTTACCCTTCCCTGCCCATCTCACCTTCCCTACACCTTTAGCTCCTTCCTTCCCATTTCTAAATGTTAGTAATCTTATTAGGATCTTATGTATTATTGCAGATTATTCACACCAGAGAAACTATTCCTTATTTACACACGTGTGCCTTATTTATTTCACTTAGGAGTATATCCTCGTATGTATCCATTTTCCTATGAATGAATCTATTTCCTTGTTTTTTATGGCTGAGTAATATTCCATTTTATAGAAAAAACACATCCTCTTTATCCAGTTTCCAACGGATGGGCAAATGGGCTGTTCCCAAGATTTAGCTATTACAAACTGTGCCGCTATAAACATGGGTGTGCATACTTCTCTGTGATATGATTCTTTTAGTTCTTTTGGAAAGATACCCAGCAGAGGGATGGCTGGGTCAAATGGAACCTCCAGTCCAAGCTCTTTGAGGTATCTCCATATTGATTTCCATAGTGGTTGCACCAGTCTGCACTCCCAACAACAATGGAGAAGGGTTCCTTTCTCCCCTCAACCCTGCCAACATTTGCTATTGTGTGATTTCTTGATAGCAGCCATTCTTTGTGGGGTGAGGTGGAATCTCAGTGTTGTTTTCATCTGCATCTCTCGAATGACCAGTGATGTGGAACATTTTTTCAAATATTTTCTTGCTGCTTTGGCTTCTTTGTCTGAGAAATGTCTGTTCATTTCGGATGCTCATTTTTGAATAGGGTCTTTATATTTGGGGGGGCTGATTGCTTTGAGTTCTTTATATATTCTTGATAATAGTCCTTTGTCTGAGGAACAGCTGGTAAAACTTTTTTCCCACATTGTAGATTGTCTCTTAGTTCTGCTGATGGTTTCTTCTGAAGTACAGAAGCTTTTTAGTAATATGAGATCCCAGTTGTTGATTCTATCTGCTAGTTCCCGTGCTACTGAGGATTTGTTCATAAAATCTTTTCCTATGCCAATGTCTTCTAGAGTTCTGCCTAACTTACCTTCCAGCAAGTTTAATGTTTCTGTTTTAATATTTAGATCTTTAATCCATTTTGATTTTAATTTAGTGCGTGGCAAAAGATAAGGGTCTAATTTTAATCTGTGGCAGGTTAACATCCAGTTTTTCCAACACTGTTTATTAAAGAGGCGATCTTTCCTCCACTGAGGATGGTCAGCTCCTGTGTCAAAGATGAGGTAGCTGAGTATATCTGGGTTTGTTTTTGTGTCTTCCAGTCTGTTCCACTGATCCTCAGGCCTATTTCTTTGCCAGTACCATGCTGTTTTTATCACAGTGGCTTTGTAGTATAGTTTCAAATTGGGAATTGTTACACCTGGTGCCATGTGTCTGTTGCCTAAAATGGCTTTTGCTATTCTAGGTCTCTTATGGTTCCAAATGAATTTTTGGATTTTTTTTCTAGTTCTGTGAAATATAGTGTTGGAATTTCAATTGGCATTGCATTGAATGTATATAGCAGTTTTGTTAGTATGGCCATTTTCACTATGTTGATTCTTCCTACCCAGGAGCAGGGGATATCTTTCCATTTTTTTATATCCTCTTCAATTTCTTTTTTCAGAGTGCTGTAGTTTTCAGTGTAGAGATCTTTTGTTTCTTTTGTTAGATTGATTCCTAGATACTTCATTTTTTTGGATGCTATTGTAAAAGGAATTTTTTCCCTTATTTCTCTCTCCGTGAGTCTGTTATTTGCGTATAAGAAGGCTATTGATTTTTGGGTATTCACCTTGTATCCAGATACTCTATTGAATCTGTCAATTAAGTCTAGAAGTCTTTTGGTGGAGTTTTTTGGGTCTTCAATGTAGAGTATCATATAATCAGAAAATAATGACAATTTAACTAGGAAGAAATAATTGTTAATAACAGACAAAATAGAAAGCAAGGAAAAGGGTCATGAGACACAGCTATGCAATGCACTGTTAATAAAAAGTACAGCAGCCCGATCCTCTAGTACAATATGTAAACTCAAAATGTAACATGAAATGGACAGCAGCCAGAATCAGAGAGAAATAGTCAATATTTTAATCTAAATGTTCTAGAGTATTCCTCTATTGAAGTGATACATTATAACATAGTGATAAATTTAAGTAGTCTGAATAATAGCGTAAATAACTTGAGAAAGTTTAGACATCTACAAAAATGATTTTAAAACAATGTAAATAGAAGATATTCTGAATAAATGGAAATCTTTCTGTGTTCTTAGGTAATACAACTCATTTTAAATCTTTCATTTTTTCCAAATAAATCTATAAATATAGTGCAGCTCTGGGAATAAATGAAGACTCATCAACTAAGAACAGATAAAAGCTACTGATCCTATGTTTGTCCAAAGGGACTTAGCCACCATCATCTCCTTTTCAGCAAAGGCTCAGAGACAGGCAGAGAGGAGGCAGAGCTTCCGATGATGAAAAGGGAGGGATCAAGATCCTCCCTGATTAGAGGCTGTACCCTTGGGCAGGCAGTAGGCAGGCAGATTAGCCGCAGAATGTCCTATGTGATTGGTTAAATTGGTGACATATTTGCCTCTCTTTGGTTATCCCTAAGATGGAAATGGGGACAAAATTTTTAAAAACTCTCAATTATTAATCAAGACTATGCTGTTGGTGGTGAATAGTGACAAGTGCTGTTGTTTGACTTACTAGGTTGTATTGGAGATGGTGATCTGATTCCTACAAGTCTGGATTGCTGCAGATTGCATTTCTCAGCAGCTGATTACTGTAGAGTATGGATGGTTTCCCTATATGATTCATTCAAATGTTTATGCTGCATCATTAAAATACAAAGGAATGGTTTGATTTTGTAAAGGAACAAACTGGTAAGATGTATGGTAAAATGAATATTCAAATCATATTAATAAAATAATTCATGAATTGACATAGCTGGACATAAGCATGTGAAGTACAACAGGTATTCTGGGATAGTTTCATGTTTGGGAAGCTAGCACTCCATGATTAAACTGTCAACACAATTTAAAGGACATGTTCTGATTACAGAAACTAATAAAGTATTCTCTAAATAATGAAAAAAGCATAAGATAAGACTATAAGAGCGAGAATCAATTTAAATATGTTCAGGGACCATTTTCATCTTCAGAATTAAGGATTATTTTGATATTACATCATTGACTTTTCTCTTTTACTTTCCTTTTTTAGTTTTACTTTAGGATTCCCTATTTTTCATGTTCATACAGAGATTTCTTTAACTGAAATACCAAATAGTTTCTTTGGTGTGAAAAACTATAATAGTACACCGGATCCTAATGAGACAATTAATAATGTGAAATAGGAAGTAAAGGGCTAAAGGTGTAAGGAAAGTGGGAAGGGTGGGGGAAAGGTAATAAGGGAGAGGAAAAAAATATGAGAAACTGAAAAAATGGAAATAAAATGTTTGTAAATGGGGAGGGGAAGAGGGGGTGAAGGGAGGGCAGGGACAAGGGGAAAAATGAGAATCAAGACCTATTATGTAAAGGTACAGAATCCCAATGATGAATGTAACTGTATTTGTATGCCTAGATTGTACCAATATCCTCAATAAAAAAGAAAAAAAAATAAAGGACATGTTGCAAAAAGTTCTATTAAAATTTAAAAAAATATTGAGGATATACTCCTAAGTAAAATAAATAAGTCACACATGTGTAAATACTGAATAATTTCTCTGGTGTGAATAAACTGTAATAGTACATAAGATCCTAATGAGATAACTGACATTGTGAAATGGGAAGAAAAGGTCTAAAGCTGTAGGGAAGGTGGGATGGGTAGGGGAAGGGTAATAAGGGAAAAGAAAAAATGTGAGATAATGTAAAGATGGAAATAAAGTGGTTGTAAATGGGGAGGGTAGGAGGGGGTGAAGGGAGGGCAGGGACAAGGGGAAAAAATGAGAACCAAGACCTGTCATGTAAAGGTACAAGATCCTAAAGATGAATGTAACTGCACTGTATCCCTAAAATGCACCAATAAACTCAATTAAAAAAAATGATCCTTCATCTATAAGTGCAGAAATGTTAAAAAATAAATTTAAAAGTTAAACACAAAATCATGGGGAAATATAAAATAAAATTTATTATCTCTCTGTCTCCATCTCTCTCTAAAATTCAATCTGTCAGCATTATCAATGCCCATTATTTTGAAAATTGTCATGGTGGTGTACTGTGAAAGGTTTTCAATTAGGCATCGCTGTGCCTCAGATAAACTACATTGGCTATGATACTGCTATTGCACAAAATTAAATTTCTATTATTTACAAATTTCTCAGTCTAAAGCATTTTGTATTTGTAGCCCAGATGAGCTAACAGAGAAGAATATGACAATAAGTGCTCATTTTCACTGAGAGAAAAGAAAAATTATAATAGCAAGAATTCATCCTTACCCAGCCACATTCATGTACTATAAGTGAAAGTCTTAACTGCTATAAGCATTTTGAACAGCAATCTGCCAGTCCTTTGTCAAAATCAGCACCTGTGTGTAACCTCTGGTCTGCCAGTGTCCTTTGCTGGACTGTATGCAAGGGAAGTACTTCCAGAAGGACATACCAGTACAAGAAGTTCACTGTTTGCACAGCCAATAATTGGAGACACTATTTTTAAATTGAGTTTATTGGTACATTTTAGATATACAGTACAGTTACATCCATTATTGGGATCTTGTATCTCTACATGACAGGTCTTGGTTCTCATTTTTTTCCCCTTGTCATTGGAGACAATCTTAAATGTTTAAGTCAAAGATGAATATTCACTGTGGAAACTATACAATAGTAAAAAGAACATACTAAATGTGCATGGTGCAATACAGTAAAAGTATACTGCGAAGTGAAAACAAACAAAATGAATTATAAAAAACCTCACCATTAAATAGATCAAGTTATGTGAATTTTATAAGAATGGATAGAAACCAAATCAAGCAAGGAAAAACACAGTGGAATGGTTGTATATTGAGAATGATAGGAACAAAGATGAATTCAAAAGAAATTAGTAAATTAATAAATGGCAGGAGACAGACTTAGACTGGCAATATTAGTGTTTACTAAGAGGCAACAACAGTGACTAGTTGTGCTCTTGTTGACTACGGAATAATTGCATATGTAAAAGTACACTCTAGACAGAGCCCCTCAAAACCCTAATCAGAGAGAGATGTGGTCATCGTGTAGCTGCCAGTGGTACCATTGTCAGTAACCCTGAAAATTGTTCACACTGGAGGGGATGGTTCTGGAGTATGCTGTACAAGAGAAATGTAGGGAGTTCATGGTGTTCAAATGACACCAAGGAAATGAAGTGGGGATTGTCATTCTTTAAAAGAAAGTATGTAAAACATGAACAAAGAAAATGAGCAGAAAAGATATTCAGATCACTTCACCTGATTAACTTCATCCATCATCAACTTGCTAATCTGTGGGTGGGTGAGCAAGGAAGTTCCAGATGCCTGCGTGTCCCCTTGAGATCCTTGCAGGTAAAAAATCACTTTGGGCAAGCTGATGACACGCTTGCAGCCAGTTTAACAATGACAGCCTTTAGATAAATGCAGAAAGAGATGGACTTTATTGATTTAAATTTTCTTTTAAACAAAATTAGTAAAAAAAAAAAATGATTTCACAAAGCACTTTGGGAACATAATACATATTTTGTATAATTGTCCTTGCTGCATTCAAGCATTTTTGTCAACAGTTAATCTTTAAGCCCATGAAATATCTACTAATTTTTTTCGGTCTGAAACTATACCAAAGGTTAACAATAAGTTTATGAAAAAATTTGTGGTCTACTTCCACGAGGAACTCACTGATATATTTCCTGCACAATGAGTACAGCCATGTTTGTAAATAAAAAACAATCAAATCCATAGGGAAATCTAATTACCAGGTGAGAAGATGGGGGGTTGACAGACAAAATAATATGTGAAAAACACAAATTTGAGAGTTGGACTCGTTTATGAGATATGCCGAAGTCTTATTTTTTTTAGAAATAGTAAGCAGGATGTGGGAAACGATCAGAAAAAAAAGGTAATTAGTTCAATTAAAACAGGATTTTGAGTGGTTTTTGTCACTATGATCATGGATCAAAATCTCACCAGAGAAATTTAAGTAGTTACCTAAAATGTTATGCAGAGAGGGACAGGAATGTATGTGCATTGTTTTGAATAATCCATAAGTAAACATTTTCTTAGGATAAGGTTAGGTTATAATCATAAAAATGGGCAGAAGAATAAATCCTAATTATATTTCACCTCTAAAGAGAGAAAATATACTTCATTTTTTCCATTCAACTCAATTACTCTTGAATATATTCCTTTAAAAAAACATGTCTTCAAATCTATTTCGTGTCACAATGGTCATATCCTAAGCCTAACTATTGATCAAACCATCCTAATTAATGTAAATTTTATCTTTCTTCTGATCTGTGACAAGGCTTATATTTACGATCACTTCATTATTTGCTATTTTATGCTTCAGTTTAAAAAAATTAATCAATAATTGATTTTTTTGGTGTTGGACAAAACTATTTTACTCTAGGAATGGCAAGGAAAAAGAGCTTCTGGTGCTCTAGAACATCTTTTTATTTCATTTTGTCTGATTTCTACATGATTAAAAAAGAAAACAAAGAAAGAAAAGCAAGTGATGGGGAGGAGATGGAAAGATTGGAAGAGAAAATAAAGTGTCAGTGGCTCAGCTTTGTCAGAGCCTGTAAAATCTCCCAGGGTGTACTGAAGTAGAAAAAGCAGGACATAGTTTACCTTAGGAAGGGTAATCTTGTACTGCATCAGGACAATTTTTTTTTAATATGTAAAGTCAGCCACAATATTAAAAATTCCTCTTTCTTTTCAGAAAGATTGCACAATTTCTTTTTATACTTGTGTCTACCTTCTGGTGACCCTTTCATCCTACCCTTAAGTAGCATGTGTTTGGATTTAGATCTTGCTTCATTCATATCATATAAATTGTCCAAAATACTTTAGGATGAGGAACAACAATAACAAATAAACATAAAGGTACCCTTCGGAGAACCTCTATGCTGTTTATTTTGTGTTACATGAACAAAAACTAAAATAATAGTTTATGTTACAATATGCTGATCATTCACTGCTATAATTATGATGCTTTTATTAGAGTAAAGTTTATCTTAGAAATGTTAGGAAATATGTAAAACATAAAGATGATATGCCTAATCTATTTTTCTCTCTCCAGAAAGATCTTTTTTATGTTCTATTCTAGTCTTACATCTGTATTTTTGTCAAATGAATTTTACCTCACTTATTAAGATGATTCACATTTTTCTTCAAAGCATTCATTTTATGAATGAAAAGTATTTATAAAAATGGTGTTTTTAATTTTAAAAATGCCATATAGTACAGAGGTTATTATGAACTCGGACCCTAGAGATTGCTTTATCTTTTCTATTATTGACGGCACACGAGTGAATTCCTGAAACCTCTCACAATCTTAGTTTCAACATATAAAATAGGGATACAAGTAATACCTATTGTATAGAATTGCTCTTCTAATTTTATTATTTTATATAAAGACTGCAATTTTAAAATGCTGGGAGTATAATGCACACCACACAATTAGAATGTATTAATATCATTTGTTTTTATTAGCATTTTGGTAGAAATTAGGGCTATCTCCAGCTTTATGGATTTTTGAATAAGTTGTTTAAAAAAACCGAATACAGATATTCCTAAGAATGTCACAGTGAATGATAAATGAAGTTTATATATATTGTAAAATCACTGTTCAGACAATTATGAGACTCAAACTACCATCTGTCAATTGGAAAGACACTTCTTGATAAGCATTGAGATGCCCATAGTAAATTAGAATATAACTTATTTATAGCAACAGTAAATGTTATTTGTCTTGTTGGGAACATATTTTTCACCCTTATCATTGCCAAATCATATCTTTCTTTTTAAATTCCCTTGCAACATAATATATTATAGTTTTTGTACTTCAAAGGTGATAATGCTTTTTAATATTGCAAAAATTGTCCAAATTTTGGTCTATATTTTAATAACATAAGTGCAAATTATCTCATTTAATGCATTTTTCCGATACTTGCTTTTAAATACTATTTTGTTAATCCTGATTTTTTGCACTCCTGATAAATTTGTGGTTATCAACTAATTTTTTGCTTATAAGTATGATTTGTTTTAAATTCTTTTTTTTTCTCATTGAGCTTATTGGTACATTTTTGGTATACAGTACAGTTATATTCATTACTGGGATCTTGAACCTTTACATAACAGGTCTTGGTTCTCATTTTTCCCCTTGTCCCTGCCCTCCCTTCACCCCCTCCTCCCCTCCCCATTTACAAACACTTTATTTCCATTTTCTCATATTTTTTTCTTTTCCCTTATTCCCTTTCCCCTACCCTTCCCAATTTCCCTACACCTTTAGTTCTTCCTATTTCACATTGTCATTTATCTCAATAGGATCTTATGTACTGTTATAGTTTATTCACACCAGAGAAACTATTCAGTATTTACACATGTGTGACTTATTTCATTTAGGAGTATATCATCAATATGTATACATTTTCCTCTGAATAAATCTAATTTCTCATTCTTTATGGCTGAGTAGTATTCCATTTTATAGAAAAACTACATCTTCTTTATCCAGTTTCCAACTGATGGGCAAATGGGCTGTTTCCAAGTTAGAGCAATTCTTGAAAATATCATACATTTGGATTTCCAAATTGACATAAAACTATTTATTCTCATGTATAAAACTAGCTTGAAAAACTCATATTCCTAATTTATCAAGAATGAAACTCTAAATGTTTTTCTTACAATACCTTTTAAACTAATTGGTCTCTCTGCTAAGCAGGGAATGTATTCACTTGATTTAAAAACAAACAAATTAACTAACTAACTAACTAAATAAATAAATAATGGATGGAATGTTTTCAGGCTCTAAAGAAATGGAAATATAGAATAAACTAAAAGGAGCAACTTACCAAAGATCACAGCTCTGAATTTATGGCCTCATTTTAAATTAAAATAGGTGCCAAAAATTAGCACATGTGTATTCTGTTAAAAACGACTACAGAGTGGTGTAGGATCACCATGCTTTGCACAGTTGATGTTTTGGAGGCAATCCGGGAAAAGGAAACAACTCTTTGAAGCCCGCGACCTCATTCAAACTTCATTCAGCAAGGGCAAGCGTCATCTGGTCAACCTCATACCGTCCCCTACGGATTTGCTAAATGGGAATCTTGTGGGTGGGAGTGGGGATGATAGCGACTATGATTAGCCTGGTACTAGTTTATCACCTAATAAAACATACATTTCCTTACTTCAATGACATACACACTGCTGAATGAAGCCTGAGAACAACTCTCTATTAATAATTCATTACAAACATGAAAAAAAAGTTTGTGAGAGAAGAGATATAATTAGTGAGCATCATGCTAATAAAAAATAGTGTGGCTTCTCCAATGTCTATGGAAGATATTTTCATTAAGCAACATCTCTATCTTATTACTATTTTTTTTTGTACCAGGAATAGAATTTGGGTCCTTGCGCTTGTGAGGCAGGCAGCAGAATCACCAAGCGAAAGCCCCCACCCATAGTTTATTACTATTAAGAACTAGGTCTTTCACAAAAAAGACAGGGCCCTTTCTCTTCTCTTTTCTTACAGAGTATAGTTGTTTTGCCTATTTTGCTATTGTTTTACAAAATCACAGAAATTTAAAAATATTAAGAAAGACTAAAATGTTTTCAATGATAACCTATTAGAAATAAATCAGTCTTCTGCCAATGAAATCTCATTTATATTCAAGGGCTACCAATTACTTCATTTGGTAGAGTAAGAATCTTATCTGATTAAAATTTCCCATCATATTTCTCACTATCAATTAAAATTCTTTATGAAACACGATAATTGGAACAGATGATTTAAATTACTTGAATTTAGTAGAAAAGTCTGGGAAAATCAGTGTAGAACTAAAAGCATATTTCTAAAAATTAGCATTTGGGGCCCCACATTAGGGTAGCAAAAGGAACAATTTAAAGCAAAAAAGTAAATCCATTGCATAATAAATATCTATTTTTCATTTGTGCAGGGCTGAACTCAATACCATGATATTTTCTAATCTTCTTGAAAACATCTCATCAAAAGAGATGAAAGAAAAACCAATTGATGTTGGAACATTGCAGAGCCTGCTATGATAATCTGGTTCAGGCACTTTTGGGTTGGATGCAATAATATTTCTAAACCTGAATTTTTTCAACATTAAATAAAAGTAATAATATATGCCAGGTTTGATGAGGATTGTACAAAATAAAATTTCATGATCTTTTAAAAATATATAATTTTTTTTTTGTTTTTTTCAGCTTGAATTGAGTTTATTGGTACATTTTAGGGATACAGTACAGTTACATTCATTGTTGGGATTTTGTACCTCTACATGACAAGTCTTGATTCTCATTTTTTGCCCTTGTCCCTGCCCTCCCTTCACCCCCTCCTCCCCTCCCCATCTACAAACACTTTATTTTCATCTTTTCATTATCTTTCTCATCCTTTTCATTTTCTTACTTTGAATCAACTTTTCTGATGTTTTCTTCTTCCTTTATGATATTTCTATTGAAAACACTGTTGCAACCTTCTATGTATATATGGGTGGATGGGTGAATATATATTTATATACAACAAATTAAAATTTTTTACATGAGCCTTTCTTTCCTGTAAGGTATTGTTCTATAATTTCACATCTGTATAGAACAGTAACCTGAGCCAAATATTTTGTTGGAATAGACAGACTTTTTCTTCATAGCAGGGATTGAACTTGGGACCTTGTACTTGCTAGGCAGGCAGCAGAACCACTAGGCTAAATCCCCAGCCTAGAATAGAAAAAAACTTCAATTTCCTGTGACATGATTATTGAAAGCAGGTTCTCTAATCACTGTATTGCCAAGTTTCAGGTTTCACATGTTTACAGAAATCATATCTATGTCCAAAATAGAGATTTCTTATGAGGCTCACAACAATTTAAGCATATATTCACATTTCTTAAATAATTAACATGTTAAATGTTTCTAGCTAAAAATAATAACTAACAATTTTAAATAGATTTATTCATATATTATATACACATACTGTCATACACACATATATAAAATAAGTACATGTACTCAAAACATATATATATAATAATTATATCAATCCTTCAAAACTGTGACATAATTCTAATGACATATATAAAAATGTAAAATTCTGCTCTATATTTTAAATAGTATATTTGATAAACACTTTTCTGTTTTTTCTAATATGTCTATGAATCTTTTCTGTGTTGTTTTGGTGTACACTCCTGCTATATATATTATTATTTGATTATGTGTTTACTAGAAAATTCTGCAGTTCATGGATCCACATGTTCCACTCATATTTGTCTTAATTTCTATTTCTTCTCAAGATTTATAACTGCAATTTTATTTTACCAGTTTGAAAATTAATAGAATTCAAAAATGAAAATACGCACAAACTCTTCTACACCAAATGTTTGCCAAATAACACTATCGCGGCCCCACCTAGTGTTCCTAGTATACTGGTGTACCTCTGACAAAGATGCAGAAGTTCTTGCGTCTTAGATGGTAGGCACACTGATTTTATACTTTAAGAGTTTGATTGCATTGTAGTATTTTTATTGATCAAGGAGTTTTAAAGAGAGTCAAGGTAATGAAACTCTCAGGAGATCACTGAGTAAACTGTGGAACATAGTTAATCACTTATGTGATTATTTATTAAGCATTATTTTAGATGTGAGGAAGTTAAATAATTTTGATGATTAAAGTTTCAAAACTCTGACAGTTTATCTTTATCATTGGATAAAATATTATTTTGTTAGGGCTGTTATAAAAATTTAAAGCAATTTAGATGGCTTAAAGAAAATAAGTTTATTCTCTAATCTCTCTGGAGGTCAGTAGTATAAAATCAAGGTCAAGAGAGCTATGCTTTACCTTGAAGCTGGAAGGAAAAGTTTTCTCATGTCTCTTCCAACTTCTTGTGGCTTTTAGCATTTCTTGGCTTCTGGGATTTGTAGCTATATCACTCCTGTCTCTGCCTGTGACTTCACAGTTAATTTTGTTTCTGTCTCCTCTTCTATCTTTTATAATATGCAGTTGTTTACTTCACAAATCCTTAGATTGGCAACCCAGTAAGGCAATTCCGGATCACTCCGTTTTGAGAGCCAAAATTATCTTTAGAAAGATTTGTTGTTGTTGTTGTTCTAATGAAGTCACACTGACAGTATTGCCAGTAAGGTGGACATGAGCATTCTTTTTTGAGGTTTTCATTCAACTCACCACAGTTAACATCTGCTTGGGAACAGGAAAGCTAAGGACCATTTGTCAGTGTAGCCTCCTTACTAGTGAGTGAGGAAGACTCCTGGGCACATTGTTTCATTGCTTCCCATGCCTTCCTCCTTGATGTTACACATTCCCTTCCCATCTCATGAACTCTCTTGTGTATTTCAGACATTGGAAGAAGCCCAGTGTGATGAAAATATAAAAGAGAGAGATACATAAGATGGGTTTATAGAGATAATAATCAATGGCTGACACACCATTTTGGAGGTTGTAGCACAGAGATGTGAACGGTTGCCACTGTGCAAGGAGGCACTTACACGTGATGAAAGGTGCCTGCATCTTCACTGTCATTGAGTCATGGGATCTCTGTGTATGTTTCCATGGTCTTCATGATGTCAGCGAGCTTCTAGGTTCCAGAACTTTTTCTCTGCTTAGATGTAACACTAGCGCTTTGAATACTGGGCAAGTTGAGAAGGATTTACATGGGGAACAATTAACATGGAAAGTAGTATAGGCAATGTCTTTGTTTGCTACAGTTTTGTTCTTTTTTCATTTTGATTACTGGTTTTAGTGCTAACTAGCTTAGTTTAAAGGATGAATAGCCTTTACTGCAGGGCCACAAAAAGAGAACTCTGTCAACATTTCCAGTTATGCTATTATCCATTTTACTTCTGCATTGTATACATTTTGCACTCTATGTTGTAGACCCCAAAGGGTACTATGCATTTCTTCACTATCTTCCCCCAACTGCTACTCTCTTTTATACACATCTGTTGTTGCCTTTATTGTTGTTCAGTGAGACCATTGCTCTTTTCTCACCTTTTTAGTTTTCTCCCAAACCCAGCAGACCTTGACCAAGTCATCTCTCAACCCACTCTCTCCTGAAACAGCATTTTGAGGCTGATTCCATCTTTCAACCTGTCACTGATTAATTAAAACACAGAGAAATGTCTCAAATCATTACCATTTCTTTATTCCTCTGACTGAAAAATCTAAATACTCATGTCCTTGAACTTTCCTGTCTCTCATCACTTCACAAAATATACTGATTTCATTGTTAATATATAATGCTGAGAGTTTATTTTATGTTACCGCTCAGTGTTTGCACAGTTGTCTGGATGGGGCCCTCCATCTGTCCACACAGAGAAGCAGACATTCCACATTATGTCAGTGGGTTGCTTGCAGTGACATGTGGACTTGGAACGTGAAAACGAGACTGTAGAAAGTTTGATCCATATGTGCAAAGACAAAGAACATTTATGTTAATATACTTCTTATTATCTATTAGCAGCATATATTGGTCAAGCTATTCTATGGTATCAATAATTTTATGGGAAGCAGAAGGTACAGCCTCTGACAGTATGAACTTTGACCTAATAAATAAGTTTACATCATCAAAAATGGAAACCCTACCAAGGAAAAGGGACAGAGCCCTGTATGTGTTAGGGCCATGGTGCCCGAATTATCCACTGCCAGATGGATCTGAAGAGTGTTCAGATATCATAATGCATGTGTGGAGGTCAGGGATAGTGGAAACTCTTCATTAACACCAATAACGAGATAGCTCCAAGTTTCCTGTCTGTCACCTACGAGGTGGAAATACTGACATCCTCACCCCACAGAACTGTTGTTAACATTACGTGAATCTGTTGATGTAAAATATCTTCCACGTAATGAAGTTGCCTATATATTCATTTTCTGTCATGCCCACCTCTATTAGGGTATGAGTTTAAGGTCAATATATAAATAGCAGTATTAGAAGATTTGTGTCTTCTTGATGACTATGTCCAGGTGGATATAGAAACTGTAGTCAAAATGATAGTGAATATCTCATAAACTATATGGGGTGGTATCACTGCATATGGCAACCTAATTTTTGTTTTAAATAAATATCTAATGGCAGAACAAAATGACATATCCACTTAGGTAAGTTCAAATTTTGTCTTGAGATATCTTCAAAAATAATGTTTTCATCATCTTTGTTTTCAGAGATGGTGTCATTTCAGAGATCCTTTCTTCTTTTTAAATGTTCTTTTAAAAATATTACATTTGTGCATAGGAGATCTATCAAGTTAAATACAAAAATCAGGACATATATGTCTAACTTATTAGTGTAGTATATGTATAAAAATGCTGGTGGCTGTCACTATGAAACTGCTAGACAATATGTAACCAAATTCATAGCTTCTAATGATATATGATCATATTTTATTCATTTACTTTAGATAAAGTAAGCATTCTGATTCACATAGCAGCACTGAAATTGTAAGAACCGTACCTGAGGCATTTTCTAGTAGCATTTTAAGCTAAAGAATAAACTATTTGGGGAAAGGAAAACAGATGCTATGTGGCATCAATAAGAGATAAAAAGAAGAGTATGTGAATAAACCTGTATTCGTTCTTTATGAGCTAACTGAAAGAAACAGAAACACATTTCAAAGATTAGGGCATGTTTATTACATTATAGTGTTTTTCTCATCAGTAGGCTTTACTTATGAGGTATCAGAAAATTCTCCTATTGCTCCAAACCAAAATTCCTACATCATCATCTGTAAATATCCTGTTATTGCACAATTAAAAAACCACATACTAACAGAATGAATCTATAGCTTTTGTCACCTGCAAATTACTTGTCATATAGTGGTGAGAACAGTAAGTTTGGGAGTCAAACATGACTCTCACCACTGCCATCTCTAATAATCATCTATCCATTTTAAGTCTTAGATTTTTCAGGTCTTTATCAAATGGGCACCTCAGAGTATGAGAACCAAATGACATGTTAGTTTCGCATAAAAACCCAGATGCTCACTAATTCAAAGCTAAACACATTTCTTTTCCCTGTATCAAATCCAATCTAAACCCAGAAAAGTGAGCTTGGCTCAAATATTTATGTCTAAGAAAGTCAATTCTTCTTTAGACTGATGAGCTGTCTGGCACTTACAGTGCAAAATCAGCCACACAAATACATTGATGTCATAGAGAAAGCGACAGCATTCCTCAGAGGAATATTTACCTTGATCACTGCCCAAACGGAAGACAGCAAATACTGTCTTGTGGGAAATTGTTCAGAGAGCTCATGATTTTGAATTACCATGGTGAAGGAATATGATTTCATTTATTTGAGATTAAGAGAATCAGTACCATAAAAACAGTGACTAGTAATGTTTATGTAGAAGTAATGTAGAAGAGGGCTTGGAAAGAAATTTAAGAACGTTAGGGGATAGAATACTTTGAAATATGTAGTATCGTACTTACCTCCTATAGTGTTATAAAATAGACTTTTGGGGTGCCTGTCTTTAAATCTCTCTCTTCCAACTGAATGAGGGAGAGTTATTGATGAGAGAATGTTATACGCCTTAGTGGGTAGAGGAAATAGTTGAGCCTCTACTGACTTATACATCATTGTTTTTTTCAGATGAAAACTCACTTATAATGTTTCTTCTTTCACTTGGCCTCTCCACTCCTTTTTTAAAAAATTTTTGCCTCAGTAATATTTTTGTTCTCTATCCCACCCCAACTTCAATAGTTATAACATATGATTCAAATACTTCTATTAAGATATTTTCTTTCCTTCTTCCTTTTTTCCCACTTGGACACTATCTGTATTGAGATTTTTAACCCACTGACCCTAAGATTTGTAATCTTTTGTACATGTTCCCCCGATTTTAATAGTCCTACACAGAGTATACCTTAGTTAAACACATTGGATACAAAATTTACTTAACTTTTTAATCTGTTCAATCCCAAGAGTGCTTGAAAAACCCACATTGCTTCCTGCATATCATGAGAACATAAAAATATGCTGTTGGTTGAGTTAATTTCACATTTATAGTCACAGATTTTGAGCTGGCACCCAACACTACCAGCTAATTCTACAATACTTACCTCATAAATTCAATTTCTTATTCTCTTTCTTGTCTCTTCTCAAATATCTCTGCCTTTCCCAATCTTCTGTAATAACGTTGAGCTGATGATACCACAACACTTCTTACTAAGAAAACCCACTCCTGTACTGCTATGAGCTCACCGCCTCCGTAAATTGTACACACATATTCGGACTTCCTTTTTGCTTTGATGCAATATCCCTCGTGCTATCTAAATGGATTAATCCAAATGTGCTTTTCCTTTTTTGAAAAATTTCAAAAATGTTATTTTAGAAATTAGGTTCTGTCTCTTCTTCATCTATGTTTTTCTACCTCCACTGAGGTATGGAAGTGGCTTAAAAACTCACAAACTCATGATTTCCCTATCTTGTTTATTTTCCCCTTGTGATGCCTTATTTCAAAGCACAATCAGCAGTTCTGTTTTCTTAGAATACAACATGAATACCGGACACAAAGCCACTTCTCAGACAAAAGTGTTTCCATTTTTCCTACTGCGTAGATGATCTATCTCTTCCCTCTCTAGCCTTATACATGTGTACAACATTACAGGTATGGGTTCCTTCAATTGGACTCATCCTAAAGTTGAGATCACGAGAATTTTGTGTATCACATGCATGTTACTAATTCTCTCTAGCAAATTTGCAAGTGTTGTTATTATTGTTGCTGTTGTTGGGATGGGCAGGGAGTGGTTTGCTTGTTTCTAATACGAGATACTGTATATCTGTAATGCATGATTCTGCCATTAACCGTTATTATCTCTTCTCAGCCCTCTACTCTGAGTTTTTGCAGGATGGATGATATCTTTGTATGTTTCTTCTCTAAAATTCTCTCAGGAGGATGCATTATTCTTTGCAAAAAAAAAGTCTGTTTCTATCCTATATGCAGAACTTGCTCTAATATTTCCAACTTCAAATGTTGCAGTAGGCAACTCCAAATACAGCCTGATTTTACTCTACAATGGTTCTTATTTTTTTCGACTGTGAGGTTAGGCTGCATAGTTATTTCATTTTGAAACTAAATAATTTAACTACTATAAATTTGTTATTGTAAATTTAGCACAACTAGGTTTGGCACATAATGAAGTATTTTAATATAACAATTAAAACCTGCCTTTAACACAAATAACTTATTCTGTGTAATCTATCTTCCATTTTAGTTTTATTTAATTTTCTATTTCATAACATCATTTTGACATTGGATAATTTTATATATTTTTCTTTGTGTGGACAGAATTTACATTCTTTCATCTATTGATAATTTTAATCTGCTTTAACTATTTTTAAGAGTTCATTGCTAGCATTTTTATTTTTAGAAACATTTATTCTGTTTCTCATCATTTCTAGCTTATATACTTATAATACTGTTTGCCTTCAGTTCTTTTCTTTCGTTCTTAAATTTCCTTTTCATTAAATTTATGTTTTATGGGCTGGGGATTTAGCTCAGCGGTTTGGTGGCCTGCCTTGCAAGTGCAAGGACCCGAGTTCATTCCCCGGTACCAAAACAACA